TGACAGTATTATGTTTTGAAGTCTCTGTGTTTAGTTTATTAGATGACAGTATTATGTTTTGAAGTCTCTGTGTTTAGTTTATTAGATGACAGTATTATGTTTTGAAGTCTCTGTGTTTAGTTTATTAGATGACAGTATTATGTTTTGAAGTCTCTGTGTTTAGTTTATTAGATGACAGTATTATGTTTTGAAGTCTCTGTGTTTAGTTTATTAGATGACAGTATTATGTTTTGAAGTCTCTGTGTTTAGTTTATTAGATGACAGTATTATGTTTTGAAGTCTCTATGTTTAGTTTATTAGATGACAGTATTATGTTTTGAAGTCTCTGTGTTTAGTTTATTAGATGACAGTATTATGTTTTGAAGTCTCTGTGTGTTTAGTTTATTAGATGACAGTATTATGTTTTGAAGTCTCTGTGTTTAGTTTATTAGATGACAGTATTATGTTTTGAAGTCTCTGTGTTTAGTTTATTAGATGACAGTATTATGTTTTGAAGTCTCTGTGTGTTTAGTTTATTAGATGACAGTATTATGTTTTGAAGTCTCTGTGTGTTTAGTTTATTAGATGACAGTATTATGTTTTGAAGTCTGTGTGTTTAGTTTATTAGATGACAGTATTATGTTTTGAAGTCTCTGTGTTTAGTTTATTAGATGACAGTATTATGTTTTGAAGTCTCTGTGTTTAGTTTATTAGATGACAGTATTATGTTTTGAAGTCTCTGTGTTTAGTTTATTAGATGACAGTATTATGTTTTGAAGTCTCTGTGTTTAGTTTATTAGATGACAGTATTATGTTTTGAAGTCTCTGTGTTTAGTTTATTAGATGACAGTATTATGTTTTGAAGTCTCTGTGTTTAGTTTATTAGATGACAGTATTATGTTTTGAAGTCTCTGTGTTTAGTTTATTAGATGACAGTATTATGTTTTGAAGTCTCTGTGTGTTAGTTTATTAGATGACAGTATTATGTTTTGAAGTCTCTGTGTTTAGTTTATTAGATGACAGTATTATGTTTTGAAGTCTCTGTGTTTAGTTTATTAGATGACAGTATTATGTTTTGAAGTCTCTGTGTTTAGTTTATTAGATGACAGTATTATGTTTTGAAGTCTCTGTGTTTAGTTTATTAGATGACAGTATTATGTTTTGAAGTCTCTGTGTTTAGTTTATTAGATGACAGTATTATGTTTTGAAGTCTCTGTGTGTTTAGTTTATTAGATGACAGTATTATGTTTTGAAGTCTCTGTGTTTAGTTTATTAGATGACAGTATTATGTTTTGAAGTCTCTGTGTTTAGTTTATTAGATGACAGTATTATGTTTTGAAGTCTCTGTGTTTAGTTTATTAGATGACAGTATTATGTTTTGAAGTCTGTGTGTTTAGTTTATTAGATGACAGTATTATGTTTTGAAGTCTCTGTGTGTTTAGTTTATTAGATGACAGTATTATGTTTTGAAGTCTCTGTGTTTAGTTTATTAGATGACAGTATTATGTTTTGAAGTCTCTGTGTTTAGTTTATTAGATGACAGTATTATGTTTTGAAGTCTCTGTGTTTAGTTTATTAGATGACAGTATTATGTTTTGAAGTCTCTGTGTTTAGTTTATTAGATGACAGTATTATGTTTTGAAGTCTCTGTTTAGTTTATTAGATGACAGTATTATGTTTTGAAGTCTGTGTGTTTAGTTTATTAGATGACAGTATTATGTTTTGAAGTCTCTGTGTTTAGTTTATTAGATGACAGTATTATGTTTTGAAGTCTCTGTGTTTAGTTTATTAGATGACAGTATTATGTTTTGAAGTCTCTGTGTTTAGTTTATTAGATGACAGTATTATGTTTTGAAGTCTCTGTGTTTAGTTTATTAGATGACAGTATTATGTTTTGAAGTCTGTGTGTTTAGTTTATTAGATGACAGTATTATGTTTTGAAGTCTGTGTGTTTAGTTTATTAGATGACAGTATTATGTTTTGAAGTCTCTGTGTTTTGTTTATTAGATGACAGTATTATGTTTTGAAGTCTGTGTGTTTAGTTTATTAGATGACAGTATTATGTTTTGAAGTCTCTGTGTTTAGTTTATTAGATGACAGTATTATGTTTTGAAGTCTGTGTGTTTAGTTTATTAGATGACAGTATTATGTTTTGAAGTCTCTGTGTTTAGTTTATTAGATGACAGTATTATGTTTTGAAGTCTCTGTGTGTTTAGTTTATTAGATGACAGTATTATGTTTTGAAGTCTCTGTGTTTAGTTTATTAGATGACAGTATTATGTTTTGAAGTCTCTGTGTTTAGTTTATTAGATGACAGTATTATGTTTTGAAGTCTCTGTGTTTAGTTTATTAGATGACAGTATTATGTTTTGAAGTCTCTGTGTTTAGTTTATTAGATGACAGTATTATGTTTTGAAGTCTCTGTGTTTAGTTTATTAGATGACAGTATTATGTTTTGAAGTCTCTGTGTTTAGTTTATTAGATGACAGTATTATGTTTTGAAGTCTCTGTGTTTAGTTTATTAGATGACAGTATTATGTTTTGAAGTCTCTGTGTTTAGTTTATTAGATGACAGTATTATGTTTTGAAGTCTCTGTGTTTAGTTTATTAGATGACAGTATTATGTTTTGAAGTCTCTGTGTTTAGTTTATTAGATGACAGTATTATGTTTTGAAGTCTCTGTGTTTAGTTTATTAGATGACAGTATTATGTTTTGAAGTCTCTGTGTGTTTAGTTTATTAGATGACAGTATTATGTTTTGAAGTCTCTGTGTTTAGTTTATTAGATGACAGTATTATGTTTTGAAGTCTCTGTGTTTAGTTTATTAGATGACAGTATTATGTTTTGAAGTCTCTGTGTTTTAGTTTATTAGATGACAGTATTATGTTTTGAAGTCTCTGTGTGTTTAGTTTATTAGATGACAGTATTATGTTTTGAAGTCTCTGTGTGTTTAGTTTATTAGATGACAGTATTATGTTTTGAAGTCTCTGTGTGTTTAGTTTATTAGATGACAGTATTATGTTTTGAAGTCTCTGTGTTTAGTTTATTAGATGACAGTATTATGTTTTGAAGTCTCTGTGTGTTTAGTTTATTAGATGACAGTATTATGTTTTGAAGTCTCTGTGTTTAGTTTATTAGATGACAGTATTATGTTTTGAAGTCTCTGTGTTTAGTTTATTAGATGACAGTATTATGTTTTGAAGTCTCTGTGTTTAGTTTATTAGATGACAGTATTATGTTTTGAAGTCTCTGTGTTTAGTTTATTAGATGACAGTATTATGTTTTGAAGTCTCTATGTTTAGTTTATTAGATGACAGTATTATGTTTTGAAGTCTCTGTGTTTAGTTTATTAGATGACAGTATTATGTTTTGAAGTCTCTGTGTTTAGTTTATTAGATGACAGTATTATGTTTTGAAGTCTCTGTGTTTAGTTTATTAGATGACAGTATTATGTTTTGAAGTCTCTGTGTGTTTAGTTTATTAGATGACAGTATTATGTTTTGAAGTCTCTGTGTGTTTAGTTTATTAGATGACAGTATTATGTTTTGAAGTCTCTGTGTTTAGTTTATTAGATGACAGTATTATGTTTTGAAGTCTCTGTGTGTTTAGTTTATTAGATGACAGTATTATGTTTTGAAGTCTCTGTGTGTTTAGTTTATTAGATGACAGTATTATGTTTTGAAGTCTCTGTGTTTAGTTTATTAGATGACAGTATTATGTTTTGAAGTCTCTGTGTTTAGTTTATTAGATGACAGTATTATGTTTTGAAGTCTCTGTGTTTAGTTTATTAGATGACAGTATTATGTTTTGAAGTCTCTGTGTTTAGTTTATTAGATGACAGTATTATGTTTTGAAGTCTCTGTGTTTAGTTTATTAGATGACAGTATTATGTTTTGAAGTCTCTATGTTTAGTTTATTAGATGACAGTATTATGTTTTGAAGTCTCTGTGTTTAGTTTATTAGATGACAGTATTATGTTTTGAAGTCTCTGTGTTTAGTTTATTAGATGACAGTATTATGTTTTGAAGTCTCTATGTTTAGTTTATTAGATGACAGTATTATGTTTTGAAGTCTCTGTGTTTAGTTTATTAGATGACAGTATTATGTTTTGAAGTCTCTGTGTTTAGTTTATTAGATGACAGTATTATGTTTTGAAGTCTCTGTGTGTGTTTAGTTTATTAGATGACAGTATTATGTTTTGAAGTCTCTGTGTGTTTAGTTTATTAGATGACAGTATTATGTTTTGAAGTCTCTATGTTTAGTTTATTAGATGACAGTATTATGTTTTGAAGTCTCTATGTTTAGTTTATTAGATGACAGTATTATGTTTTGAAGTCTCTGTGTTTAGTTTATTAGATGACAGTATTATGTTTTGAAGTCTCTGTGTTTAGTTTATTAGATGACAGTATTATGTTTTGAAGTCTCTGTGTTTAGTTTATTAGATGACAGTATTATGTTTTGAAGTCTCTGTGTTTAGTTTATTAGATGACAGTATTATGTTTTGAAGTCTCTGTGTGTTTAGTTTATTAGATGACAGTATTATGTTTTGAAGTCTCTGTGTGTTTAGTTTATTAGATGACAGTATTATGTTTTGAAGTCTCTGTGTGTTTAGTTTATTAGATGACAGTATTATGTTTTGAAGTCTCTGTGTTTAGTTTATTAGATGACAGTATTATGTTTTGAAGTCTGTGTGTTTAGTTTATTAGATGACAGTATTATGTTTTGAAGTCTCTGTGTTTAGTTTATTAGATGACAGTATTATGTTTTGAAGTCTCTGTGTATTCTCTTCTCAGGACGTTGTAGTCTTTAGCTGTGAGCTTTGTTCAGGTTAAGTTTTGTTTCTGTCCTTTTTATTTATAAGTTGTGTTCAGTTGCTGCTGCTGTAAACGCCCAATTTCCTGATATGAGTCTTTCACAATAAAAGCACTTCAACTACAGATAGGCTGGGGACTTTTATTTTGAGGAACTTGTTGGAAATAGAATGTGTTTATCATCTCAAACTTTGAGATTGATTACGGTACCTGAGGACCCACTCGGTCTGCCTGGGCAGCCCCGTGTACGGGCTGATGTCCCTCAGCTCTCTCCTCCATTTGTTCACTTCCTGCCCTGCGATGGTCCTGAAGTACATCCTCTTCCAGTGCCCTGCCGAACGATGTCCCACCTCCACCGTGTCAACCGCAGCATCATCAGCCGCCTTCGGCTTCCATGTTTGACTCCCAAACTCCGACATGTAGATCTTATGCCACACAACGCTGCGAAGAAGGACGACATGTTTAAAGAGCAGCACTTCCTGTTACGATCTGAAATCCACAATGTGCCAGCGTCTTTTTTCAATTGTTTTCAATGTGGAGAGAGCGTCATGCAAAGAGGCTGAAGGACTCTTATCAGGTCTGATTTAACTTTGACTTCATTGTTCACTCAGACTTACTCATCGTTGGCGAGCTGGTTGAAGAGTTTGCTGACGTAGCTGACGCAAAACAGCGAGGAGGCGTCCAGGTAGGACAGGACCTTTATCAGGATCTCAGACGGCAGCCTGGAGACGGAGAAACAAGTCGTTCGGACGTCAAGTTTGGAGGCTAATGCTCAAAACTGTGTGACATTGGATTTCATTATTTCTTCAGTAATTAATGAACTCCGGTTTAGAGCAGTCACCGTGAGGAATTTCCTCCTAAGTCGTGATATCAGGAATAATAAATAAATCATAAAATCAAGTTTAAAGTTGAAAAATAGTTCAAAAGAGTTTTTTTTAAAAAGAGTGGAAATATTTTTTAAAAAGTAGAAAGGTTAAAAATTAAGTTGAAATACAGTCTCATGAACTTTTCAGCTTTTTATTCACAAAACTGTATTAAAACAAAAAAAAAAATCGTTTTTTATTTTTCATGTTTGACCATCATCGGCTTCCGTACTTTTAAAACATAAAAACGTAATAAAAAACAACTGTCCGACAGTCGCGTGAGCTAATGACGTTAGCATGCCAGCTGAGCTAATGACGTTAGCATGCTAGCAGAGCTAATGACGTTAACATGCTAGCCGAGCTAATGACGTTAGCATGCTAGCCGAGCTAATGACGTTAGCATGCTAGCTCACCTTTCTACAGTGTTTTCCTGGGATGGAGACGTACTCTTTTTTGGAATATTTTCTTGATCCTTTGTTTTCGGTTCTCGGCAGCTGGGATACAAAAAGAAAGAATAAAGAAAACATTATTATTTAAGATGTTTTCAAACAGAAGACGTTTTCCCGACCTGTCACCTGCGGTCACTCCCGCTGACCGGTCCCCTCGGCGGCCACTTCCTCCGTCCTCTACCCGGACCCGGCCGTCCTCTACCCGGACCCGGCCGTCCTCTACCCGGACCCGGCTGTTGTCCACCTGAAACCTGTGGGGTTCGAGTCCTCTCCAAACCGTCTAATAAACTCCGGAAAAACTCCCCACGTCCGGCCGCCATGACGGTCTGTGAGAGACCGCTAGAGGTTCAGGTGTTACGCTTCATATCGCTACCTAAGAAGATGCGCCCCATAGCGGCTCTGCGCCTGCGCAGCACTATAGTGAGGTCGTTGCTTAACTAGACCGCTAGATGGCAGTCGATTTAACCTCTATATCTAAGAAGATAAAACCTTCAACTGTTTCTTCAAGAACAAAACAACAGAATCGATCCTGCTGATGTCACGAGTACTTGCAGTTTAATTTATTTTTGATGTATTTATTGATTTGCAGTTGTAAATAAGATCTCAATTTGATGACACAGCGTTTACAGTGCAGGACAATAACTCAAATAAACACCTGTGTTATTCTGCTGCATGAAGAAATAACATTTAAACAGAAGGTGTGGTTTAAGGTCCTGCAAGTTTGGTTTCCTCCTGGAGTACATGTGTGTGTTACATAATCCTGCTCGTCTGTAATTTAACTAAAAGCTGTGAAACCTGAGACCACACACACACACACACACACACACACACACACACACACACACTCTGGTACAGATGCTCTCGGATGTAAACATGTTGTTGGTCTCTAAGCAGCCATGTAAACAGCTCCACAGTGTGTGAGATGTTCTCAGGTGGAGGAAGACGTTGGAGGAGGCAGAGATGAAGAGCGACACCTGGAGTGTCATCGTCTGTTTGCTGGGACTTTTTGGTCAGAGTCTTCCTCGGTGGTTTGATGTATTCTTGCAGAAGTGGTGAGTACCCGTGTTGGTTCGGCTGGCGAGGAGGTCATGTGGGGCACCGGTGGGCTGCCATGTTTTCCTGGTGTGTTCAATGTTTTATATGTGAGACAAAGAAGCTCTACTGAAGGTTTCCTCGCAGCCCGGGGAGAAGAAAGCATAAGTAGCTTCACCTTAAGTTAGTTAAGATATGTTTTTCTGTCTTTATAATTAAAGGTCCACTCAGTGAGCTGTGTAGAGAGTGAGATGATAAAGGTATCTTACTCTCTGATCATTAAGGAAACATGCTATGTTGAAGTGCTGGCTTCTCTGACAACAATGCAGCAGCCAGTATGTCCTCCTTCTAACTTTACATTCTGCTCCTGAATGCTCTGGATTTGTTTGGACCAGAGAAGGTAGGCGCTTTTAAGACCCCCCACACGGCCGTTTTGGACGCCCTCGGTTTGTCAGATATGAGAGCAGTTATCAGGTCAACAGGTGTTGCAGCGATGGAAGCGGTCAAGAGAAGTGGTTCAGATAGAAGTGATTGTACCCGACCTAAAAAGCCTCTGCATGTTTCTAATAAGCTCCACGAGCAGAAACGTGCTCAAACTAGGATCAATATTGGAGATGCTTTTGAAAAATGGAGAGAGGTTAGAACACAGAAAGGTTTACAGACCCATGCAGAGCTGGATAAACACTGAAGCTTCAGAGTCCACCACATGGTGACCTGAGTGAGCATCCACTCTAGAGAGGAGGGGGGGGGACAGCTCTCTATGATGTTTAGAATTTAGACTGCAGTACACATTTTAAACACTAGGGGGCAGAGTTACATTATAAACACAGGGAATGATTTTAGATTCACCAGTTTAACTGTCAAATGTGTTTTCAGTTTTCTGCTGCCCCCAAGTGGCCGAGAAAGAAACTACTAACAACTTATTTATTTTATTCATGAGCACATTTGATCAGTTAGACTCATGTTTCTTAAAGTAGAAAATATGTTTGACATGCACTCAGATGCAATAAAAACATGTTTTGTATATTTAGAATATTATAGATATAGACTGCAAGGTAAAAAACAAAACAAATTAAAAAAGAGCAGCACAAGAAACAAACTGTAGAGGTCAGAATGAGACAAGGAAAAACAAATATAATCAATAAAAAAGTGTTTATTTAGAGTCTAATTCTAACAGGTTATATAACATACAAAGTGTAATAATGCTGTAATTATGTATGATTATAAATGATCGTAAATATATTAGAAATAAGAAAATATCTTTATTATACACTATAAATTAAGCATCAGAAATACAAGAATTATTTATAAAAACAACAAATATATTCATATCTAACCGGAAGTCACAACAAAGAGCTGATATTTAAAGTTATTCAAAATAAATATAATAAAATAATAAAACAAACAAAAAGGACATTTAGATGAAATAATAATACTGTAAGGTAATTAATAATACCATAACTATAATTTAATAATACAAAATAAACGTTTAATTGGAGAGAAACGTTGTTTTTAAATTAATAAAGAGGAAGAAGGAGGAGAAGAGAGGGGAGGAGAAGAGGGGGGAGGAGAAGAGAGAGGAGGAGAAGAGAGAGGAGGAGACGAGGGGGGAGGAGTAGCAAGGAGGAAGAGGAGGAGCCGCAGGCGGAGGAAGAGGAGGCGTCCCATCCGTCTGTGTCCAGAGGAGAGGAGCGGCCGCCATGTTAACCAAGAAGCCCGGAACCTCGGTCCTCCCGACGGGTGAGCACAGCCTCTGTAGCCGGCCGCAGGGTCGCCTGAGCCCGGCCAGTGTTGCGGGGACACACCGCCGATCCCCTGCTTCTGAAGAACTCCTTTAAATGCACCAAAGTGAAAATGTCAATGAGTGAGAGAGGCAGAAAAACAGAGAGGAAGGGCTGGGATAGAAGCTGCCCTTTCTTCTTCTGGTTTATTTAATTAAGCATAATCTTGTTGTTTTAAAGGGAGGAGATTTAGTGTTTAAATGTTCATATTGATAGAAAAGACAAAGAAAGAAAAGCAAAGTAAGACTCCAGACTGTCCCTGAGTGTCTGTCACGTTTATTTATAGCAGCAGGAGAAGCAGGAGGATTCCCGGTGTGTTTACTGCCTGTTTACTGTTTACTGCCTGTTTACTGTTTACTGCCTGTTTACTGTTTACTGCCTGTTCTCCTCTAAGCCGCTGAACAACACGGTGTCTTTAACGTGTGTCCGCTGATTCTCCGTGTTTTAACGTCTCTGTGTTACCGAGTGTTGCTCACCAACGAACCGGCTCTTTTAAACGGTTCTTTAACGCTCCGAACAAACCGTCATAACTTTGATGAACACTCGTGAATCATCTGCATATAACATCTACAGTCGGATAACTTCCAGGAGAAAATGGATCTGTCGATGTTAAAAAGGTTTAAGAGTCACAAAGAGGACACGAAAATAATGTACTAAATGTGAAAAGAATCGTTAACAGAAACTGAGCTCAAATAAGAAAGTTCATCCATTTTATTTTTATAATTATAACTAACTAATTATTCTTCAGAACTAAGGAAACATTTTGATAAAAAGAACCCAATGTGTTTTTAAAGCAAAGATAAAAACCTTTATTGATAAAGATCGTCTAAGCGGGTCAAGCTAGCCGTCTTACGTCGAGGTCAGAGTACTCGATCTTTTTGTTTGTTACGATGCTCACTGTCAGATCAGGTGACCACACTGTGGCACCCCAACAATCTGTAGACCAATGAGATAAGGTTAGGGGCGAGGCTAGACGACACCTTGATTGTAAACAACAACAAAGAAGCCAGTTGTTCCAGATCTCAGAAAACATTTCCTCTCACAGCTCCTTCTTCAGAGTGTCCTATCAGAGTGTCCTAACAGAGTGTCCTATCAGAGTGTCCTATCAGAGTGTCCTATCAGAGTGTCCTATCAGAGTGTCCTAACAGAGTGTCCTATCAGAGTGTCCTATCAGAGTGTCCTATCAGAGTGTCCTATCAGAGTGTCCTAACAGAGTGTCCTATCAGAGTGTCCTAACAGAGTGTCCTATCAGAGTGTCCTATCAGAGTGTCCTAACAGAGTGTCCTATCAGAGTGTCCTATCAGAGTGTCCTAACAGAGTGTCCTATCAGAGTGTCCTAACAGTGTCCTATCAGAGTGTCCTAACAGAGTGTCCTATCAGAGTGTCCTATCAGAGTGTCCTAACAGAGTGTCCTATCAGTGTCCTAACAGTGTCCTATCAGAGTGTCCTAACAGAGTGTCCTATCAGAGTGTCCTAACAGAGTGTCCTAACAGAGTGTCCTATCAGAGTGTCCTATCAGAGTGTCCTAACAGAGTGTCCTATCAGAGTGTCCTAACAGAGTGTCCTATCAGAGTGTCCTATCAGAGTGTCCTAACAGAGTGTCCTATCAGAGTGTCCTATCAGAGTGTCCTAACAGAGTGTCCTATCAGAGTGTCCTAACAGAGTGTCCTATCAGAGTGTCCTAACAGTGTCCTATCAGAGTGTCCTAACAGAGTGTCCTATCAGAGTGTCCTAACAGTGTCCTATCAGAGTGTCCTAACAGAGTGTCCTATCAGAGTGTCCTAACAGTGTCCTATCAGAGTGTCCTAACAGAGTGTCCTATCAGAGTGTCCTAACAGAGTGTCCTATCAGAGTGTCCTATCAGAGTGTCCTAACAGAGTGTCCTAACAGAGTGTCCTATCAGAGTGTCCTAACAGAGTGTCCTATCAGAGTGTCCTAACAGAGTGTCAACAGAGTGTCCTATCAGAGTGTCCTATCAGAGTGTCCTATCAGTGTCCTATCAGAGTGTCCTATCAGAGTGTCCTATCAGTGTCCTATCAGAGTGTCCTATCAGAGTGTCCTGTCTTAACCCTGACGCCCACGTTCTGTTTTCCTGTCTTTCATTAGCGTAGACGGAAGAGGAAGAGGAAGGAGGGAGGGAGGGAGGGAGTGTACGAGTCCCTGTCACTCAGTCAGAAGCTGTCGTTAGCTTGTTACATAGTGGAGCTAGCGGTGCAGTAATAATAATCTGTGTTGTCTTGTTGTGATTTGAGTCAACAGCTCGTCAATACAAAGCACCAAACTTCCCTTTGTCCACCTTCAAAATAAAAGCACCACAGGTTATAATGTTTGCAAGGAGAAATTCACAGAGAAGAAAATATTTAGCGTGGGCTGCTACACGAGCTGCTCGCGTGCTGTTAGGACACGGTGTGATAATTATTAATAATTATTAATCATTATTAATCATTATTAATCATTATTAATAATTAATAATAATAATAATTAATCATTATTAATCATTATTAATCATTATTAATAATTAATAATAATTATTAATCATTATTAATCATTATTAATAATGATGAATAATTATTAATAATTAATAATAATTAATAATAATTATTAATCATTATTAATAATTATTAATGTGCTTTCCTAAACAAATCTTTTGGGTTGTTTTTAGGGAGATATCCGCCTTCTTTTTGTTTAAAGCTAAAGCTAGGTTTTAGCTTTAGCTTTTTAAATAGGTTTAAATCATCTGTAAACGCTAACTGAGACAATTTTCTTAAATATTACAATCTGAGTATTTTTATTTTATGATAAAATGAAATAAAACGACGAAGAGAAAACAAACCAATCACAGATAAGACACGTCAGTTAAACGTGTTTTACGCCAGCTGTCAGTTCTATTTAAAAAAAAAAAGAAAAGCTCCTTATTAATGTTGATTTAGACATGCTAATGCTAATGCTAATGCTGGGCTGTTTTTATAAGAAGGCTAATGTAGCTTTGTGTTAGCATGACGCTGTTGGGACCGTTAATTGCTCGACTTAGTTTTTACGATAATTTACAGACAATACAAACGATGTTCCTTTAGTTACACAGGGTTTCAATTAGCTATGTGACTGTTAGCCTACTAGCTGACTGTTAGCCTACTAGCTGACTGTTAGCCTGCTAGCTAATATCCGTGTAATTGAGGTGTAGCTAGGTTAACACAGGATCCTGAAGTCGACTTGTGTATCAGTGAATTGTTTCCTTTGCATTGTGTTTTTTGAATGTGACACTAATGTAAACACAGGAAACCAGTCTAGCTTTGCAGTTAGCCTCTTTGATGCTATTAGCATTTAGCTTGCCGTTATCTTGATGGATTTTGTCAGTATTGCAGTTTCTCTCTTTAGCCTTTGTTTTGCTCGTAGAGCGACGTAACCACAGTTCAAATAAAAGATGATTTAAATCCATTAAACTAAAATAAATAATGCAATACTCATTTAAACAGCAGAGGGCGCTGTACCCACTATTAAGTATAAAACCAGTCGACGTGTACTGCGTGTCAGATCTTGGCCTCATATTTGAAGTAGAGCTTGTTCTTCTGACCTTTAGCCTCTCCT